AGGTGGACCCTCGGAACAGGAGAAGGCACGTGGTTTATTTCCCGTGCAGTATCAATGTACAATCAGTCAACAGGCCATTTCCCACCTAGGATTTGGTGGGATTTTCAACTTTCCCTAAGAAGAGCATAGAATCTGTGGCTTCATTTATAATCAGCATTAGAAAGGGCTTATTGAAGTATACAGTGGCATGAGGGGGGCTGTCCTTTGACCGGACTATGAGCTTGGTGGCGGTAGCTGCTACAGCCTCAGTACCCTCCTCACCGACGTCCAGCACAGCCTTGTGGGTAGCCTGCCAAGGGAAAAACAAGTGTCAGTGGTCCCCGTGGAGACATCTTTACTTCACTGAGTTTTGATGTTTTGCCTGGGAATGGCAACACCTGCCTTGAGAGGCTTCAAGATTATGTACACCAAATGCCTAGCATTAATTAGGTTTGCTCAGTAGATTGCAGCTGGTGGCGGTTACTAGTCCATCAGCTCTTGCACATGGAGTCTAATGGCTTCAAACACAGACCAGGGAGATCTGGGTTTGAGTCTCAGTTCTGCCGCTTATTGCTGCAAAAGTCATTTAGATGCTGTGTGCTTCAGTTTCCAAATCTACAAAAGGTGGTAATAATTGCATGTATCCCACAAGGGTATAGTGTGAATTAGAGGAGGTCACACAGAACACTTGCTTGCAAAAGCAATTGCTACAGTTGTTGAACAGTGGACGTGAGTTGCTATTACTGAAGGAAGGATCCTTTCCTTGTCTCCTAGGGAAGAGATTCTTAATCTGAGGTTCATGCACTTCTAAGCTTCAGGGAGGCTGTAAACTCCCTGTGATTAAAGGCAGTATTTTTCATCGGTGCACATGAGCATTTTCCTTGGGAAAAGGTCCACTATGCTCCTCGTATTCCAATGGGACCTCTTGGCATCCTTTCCTGGAAACCAATGAGGAAGTTCCCCTTCAGTCACCCCAGAACCAATTCTGACCATTATAACCCATGATCAAAATAAAATTTTAAGCCAGGGATCAGGAACCCACAGGAAAGCCCAACGAGGTGAGGAACCCTCCTGTAAGAGCGGGGAAGCACCAGTGACCTAGAGGCTACCGTCTGGCCATCGCTGCTGTGTAGGGGTTTGGGTTTACTGTTGCCATGTGGGAATCGGTCTTGGTGATTTGTTTCAAGGATCAGAAATCCAGATTTTTAGATCCAATATATTGTTTTAAAAGTCATCTCTCTCTTTCTCATTTTTTAAACACTACAAGCCAAAGAACACATCTACGTGGTTCAAATGGCTTATAAGCAGCCACATTATGATGTTTGTGCGAGAACCTAAACTTTAGGGAGGAAGGAAGTGAGGTCGAATGCCAGGGGGCACCTGCTCGTCCTCAGCAGGTTGGGGCAGCAACGTTGCCTGTAGAGGGCAGGCTAGATTCTCAAAGAACTGTAGTTGGGCCTTCGGAACGTTTGTGTGAAGAGGTTAAAGAGTGCCTGTGCAGCAGAGGGATGATGGCCGGGAAGCCACAGGCCTGGCAGCCTCAAGATTTGCGTCTTCTGGGGCCGGCCCGTGGCTCACTTGGGAGAGTGTGGTGCTGATAACACCAAGGCCATGGGTTCGGATGCCTATGTAGGGATGGCTGGTTAGCTCACTTGGGAGAGCCTGGTGCTGACAACACAAAGTCAAGGGTTTAAGATCCCCTTACCGGTCATCTTTAAAAAAAAAAAAAAAAAAATGTAGAGGGCAGGCTAGATTCTCAAAGAACTGTAGTTGGGCCTTCAGAACGTTTGTGTGAAGAGGTTAAAGAGTGCCTGTGCAGCAGAGGGATGATGGCCGGGAAGCCACAGGCCTGGCAGCCTCAAGATTTGCGTCTTCTGGGGCCGGCCCGTGGCTCACTTGGGAGAGTGTGGTGCTGATAACACCAAGGCCATGGGTTCGGATGCCTATGTAGGGATGGCTGGTTAGCTCACTTGGGAGAGCGTGGTGCTGACAACACCAAGTCAAGGGTTAAGATCCCCTTACTGGTCATCTTTAAAAAAAAAAAAAGAAGAAGATTTGGGTCTTCTGGCCACAGACAAACCACTTCACCTGCCTGGCCTCTGTTCCTTATCAATGAAATGAGAGTGCTTGGTTAGCTAATCTCTATAGCTGCTTCCAGCTCAGGATTTCTTGCAAATATTCTCAATCAACTCACTTTGGAAACCTGCAGGAAGTCTCTCTTTGTAATTCCAGAAAAATCAGCGTTTTGATCAAAGGCATTGCGGATGCCCAACTTTGGGAGGATGGTTTCCAGGTCATAGGAGGCAGAAATGGAAAACTTGGGGATGAACACCTCTATCCACCTGTAGAGAAGGGGAAAATAAAAAAGATGAGGTTACAAGCCCTTGCTGTGTCTGTCTCTGCTTCTAGGTGGCATTTCAGGAGACTTTGTTCTTCCTCCAGACAGTGCTGGTTGCTGCTAAAAAGGTCAATACAACCCAGGCAAACAGCCCAGGTTGCTTTGGAAGTAGCTTCCCAGCTGAGCAAGCCCAGTGCTGAAGATATGCAGGGAGACAAATCGGCCCCCCAATTAACTAGGGTGCGGAGGTGAGGAGGTGGCCCAGCTCGTGGTGGAGACTAATGGGAGATGCCAAGTAGTGACGGAGCTCCTCTGCCACCCCCTGCTCAGAGAGCCTCCCACCAGCCCTTCCTGACACAAACCCTGATAATCCCTGAGGGAAGCAAATTCCAACAGAACTTCTTTCCGTGTTGGGAACACTCTATACCTGCACTGTCCTGTGTGGTAACAATGATTTCCCCGAACCAGGAGTAAACAGCCTGCATTTATTGAGCATTTACTATGTGTCAGACATTGTCGCAGGCACATTCAGTAACATTTTCCTCATCTTAAAGGTGGTGAGTTCAGTTTTAGTGCTTAGCCCAGAGTCATGTACCGAGTGACTTGCAGAAATGAGAGCACAAAAGGGTGGACACTTCTCTGTCCTCGTCTGACAGAGCTCTTGTGACGCCCAACACCATGGACAGCCATCTCCTCCCTGTCACTGTCGCCTGTGCTGGCCTTGGCACCTCTGTCTTCTCTTTGCTCCGTTTGCTGCTCGGTGCTCTCCGCTCCCTCCCCAGCCTCCCTCCTGCCTCCTCGTCCTCTTCCCAGATCCAGTAACAGTCCGAGAAGAGAAGAAACCTCGGGAACATTCTCCAGCTTCTCTTGATCCTTGATTTTGAATCGTTGCCAGTGCTGTTTTCTCTGCCAAAAATGCCCTTCCCAAGCTTTTATGTGTTCCTGTCCTTCCCATGCTCAGATGCCACCACCTCCTTGAAGCCTTCCCGCAAGCACAGCTGAAAATGATCTCTCGCTGCTCAGAGCTCCACAGCACTCTGCCTGCCCTCCCCTGGGGCACTGATCATTGTCCTTCTCGAATTACAATTATCCTCAATCCTATCTTTTCTCTTTTCCTAGACTATAAGGCCCTGGGAATGATACCAAAAAAATACTGATAAGAGACTGAGCATGAGACTTTGACTCCTCTGTGGTGTATCTACACAATGGAATACCGCACTGCCCTAAAAAAGAGTGCAATTTGGCCGTTTGCAGCAACACGGATGAACTTAGAGAAAATTATGTTAAGTGAAATAAGCCAGGCACAGAAAGAGAAATCCACGTCCTCACTCATAAATGGGAGCTAACAAAATTAAAAGAGAAAGAAAGAAAGAAGCAAACAAACAAAAAGAAAGAAAGAAAGGAAGAGAGAACAATCACAATAATTCATTGAAATTTCAAAAGGAGAGAACAGAACTGAGGCCAGCAGAAGTGGGAAAAGGGAGGCAGAGGGAGCTTAGTGAGAAATTGGTAAAGGGCCACAAAAAATGCTTACATTGTGTAATGCTGAATATACTAATTACCCTGACTTGAACATCACATATTGCACATAGGTACTGATATTCAACACCGTACCCCACAGATATGACCAACCAATTATTTTGGAATAAAAAAAAAATTAGAAAAAAGACTTTGATATTCCTTTTTATCTTATAGTTAATATCCTTTATAATAATAATTATATCCTCCATAATAATTATAGGACTAAGAATAATATTACTCTTAGGTAATATTTATTGAGTACTTGCTATCACTTAGGCATTCTATTAAGGGTTTTATAGATAATAATTTATTTTATCTTTGCAACAACCAGTAGATTCAGTAATATTATTATCCTTATTTCATCAGTAAGCACTGATGCTTTATTTCTTTGTTTGCTTTTATGGAATCATTCCATGGAATTCAATATCAGAGTGGCTTCTAGAGCAAGTTCTGCTAGCACATAACAGCTACCATGACATAATAGCTCTGCAGAGACATAATACCTACATGACCATGGGCAATTCACTTGCCCTCTTGGATCCTCTATTTCCTTATCTGTGAAAGGGGGATGTGGGTGGGAACCATCCAACCCGCTGGGGGCCCAGAGAGAACAGAAAACAGAAAAAAAAAAGTGAATTGCTCTCTCTCTCTTCTGGGGCTGGGATACACTCTTCTCTCCTGTCTTGTGGACATCAGAGCTTGAGACTTTTCAGCTTTTGGGTTCCAGGACTAACACCAAAGACACCATCAACCTCCCTGGTTCTGAGGCTTTGGACTTGGACTGAGCCACGCTACCAGCATCCGGTGTAGACGGCCCATGGCAGGACTTCTCTTCACAATCGTGTGAGCTAATCCCCCCCCAAAATCCCCTCTCATATATATAACATATCCTGTTGATTCTGTCTCTCTGGAACCCTGACTGATACAGAGCTCAACCAATGCAAAACTATTTTCCCCAAAGGGCATGTGCCAAAAACAGTTACAGGCGGTGACAAATTTTGCAGCTGTCTGAGGCATTGGTAAATAGTTGGGGCAAAAGTATACTAACCAAAATGCTTACGAGGATCAACTGGGGGGAAGTGGCTTTAGAGGAAAGACACAGAGCTCTCTGACAGCCCATTAAGACACAAATTCAAGGGTGAGTACATTTTTATAGTGTGGAAATGTAGACAAGCCAGTGTAACCGTCATTCATATCTCATGTATATTTGTTTAGAACTTTACAGTTTTTTGTGGTGTGGTGGTATTTTCAAAAAATGAGATTAAGGACCTCCATGGTCATTTAAAAAACACATGGCCCAACTCTATGCTGTCTACAGAGCAGACAGCAGGCACAAGATGCTCAGTGTTGGTGGTCATTAGGGAAATGCATATCAAAACCTTAGCGAGATGCCATTCACATCTACTATGGCTGTAACAAAACACAGATAATCACAAAGTGTTGGCAAGTATGTGGAGAAATTGGAACCCTTATAAAATGCTGGTGAGAATGCACAATGGTGCAGCCTTTGTGGAAAACAGTTTCCAGTTTCTAAAAAATTAAACAGAATCACCTTTATTACCCAGCAATTTCACTCCTAGGGGTATATCCAAGAGAATTAAAAACATGGTCACACAAAAGACTTGTACACTAATGTTCCTAACAAAATTATTCATAATAGCCAAAAAGTAGAAATAGCCCAAACGTTCACAAACTGATGACTGCATACACAAAGTGTGGCATATACATATAATGGAATACCGTCCAGCCATAAAAAGAAATTAAGTACTGACGCATGCTACACAACGTGGATGAACCTCAGAAACATTATGGTGAGTGAAAGAAGCCAGACACAAAAGACTTGGAATGATATGGCCTGGAATCATGCTGTATTATTTCATGAACACAAAATGTCCAGAATAGACAAATCTATAGAGACAGAAAGTAGATTACTAGTTGCCAGAGGGGGAGAGCAGGGATAAATAAAGGGTGACTGCTAATGGGTGTGGGGTTTCTTTTTGAGGTGATAAAAACATTCTGGAATTACATAATGGTGATAGTTGCATAAGCTTATGAATGTGCTAAAACCCAAAAACCACTGAACTGTACATTTTAAGATAGTGCATTTCATGGTATGTGAATTATATTTCAATAAAACTAGAATTAAGTGAAATCAAACAACACATATAATGTACAGGTTACTTAATAAAGGCTCAGTTTTCTTTCCTTCTCGTCCACCTTTGCAGGATGGATGGATACATGGGTGCACAGCTTGGTTGATGGGTGGATGTGCAGGTAAATAGGTGGATGGAGGGTGGGTGAATAGGCTGATAGATAGTTGGCTGGCTGAGTGGATGGATAGATGGATGGATGAATGAACTGGTGGGTGGATAATAAGTGGACAGATGGATGGAGGAAGGAAGAAAGAAAGGGGAGGAGATATGGGGAAGGAAGGGAGAGATGATACAGTAACACCCATGGTAACTCTGCCTGGAGGGTCCCGGCATTTTAGCCTCAAGCACAGCCCTATGAAGTTGGTTTTGAGAAAGAAAGGGGAGGAGATATGGGGAAGGAAGGGAGAGATGATACAGTAACACCCATAGTAACTCTGCCTGGAGGGTCCCGGCATTTTAGCCTCAAGCACAGCCCTATGAAGTTGGTTTTATCTTCCATTCGTCCATCTAGTGAGCAAAAAGACTGGCACAGACCAGGTGCTCAGTTCATGGTAGATCTTTTAAAGCAACATGCTGAGGATCATGGAGCAAGGGAGGGGCAGAGGTGGGGTTCAAACCCTCCTGACTTCAAAGCTGATATTCTTTCTACTGCAACACAGTGTCTTTGTAAACTGTAAAGCTCTAGATAGATGTACAGGGAAGGTGAACGACAGTTATATCAGCTTGTCTACATTTCCACACCTACGAAAGTGTCCTCACCCTTGGATTTGTGTCTTAAACTGGGCTGTCAGAGAGCTCTGTGTCCCTCTAAAACCTTCAGGGGGCAGTGGGGCTGCTGGTGGTGGCAAGAGATGAGATCCTTTCTCCCAAGCTATTTCCAGAAGATTTTTCCTATGGGCTTCCCACTGAGTCCAGTGTCAGCCCCAGAGGACACCTAATCAGTCTATCCAAAGATAGCTGAATGAGCCCCTATCGTAATAGATAACTGAAGCTAGGACAGGGAACGGGAGATATCCAGGGTCGTGCAGTCAGCTAGTTGCAAAACTAACTAGATCTTAGGCCCTCTCATTCCCCACCCTGCTATCTAGGGTTTGTCTACCTTGCATATTTGACTAAGCAAAAACAAAACAAACAAACAAACAAACAGAACAAAGTCAAAGCCAACCTCTCAGATCCTTACCTTTAAAGAAAATGTGGTTCACCAGGACCATGGCTGTCAGAGGGTCAAGGCCTTGGATTATGTCCACAACCTTCCCATTGGTTTCCTTCTTCACGTAGCTGTTGATCCTCTCCTGGGCACCGGAGGTGTTGGAGAAATCTGTAGAAAAGACTTCCGACGAATACAGCCTCTTGGCGTTGTCCAGGAAATCTGCTTGCAGCTGCAGCTCCTTTTTGATGAAGAGGACGCTTCCCAACTTCAAGCCCAGGTCTTTGCTGGGGACATTCAGCAAGTGGAGCAGGTGCTGGAAGCCCTGGTGGATGGCAGACTCTGGCACATGTGTGAGGTTGAATCCCAGGCCCTGGAGGATCTGGGTCTTGGTGGCTGAGTGGGCCCCAAGGGAGAGCATAGCCAGGGAAGCAGAGACACTCACGGGGGAGAAGAAGACGTTCTGACTCGGGGTCTCCAAAACCAGTCTCCGGTACAGGCGGAAGGCGAAGTAGGTGTTGCTGGAGGACAGTGGGGAGGTGCAGGTGCTCTTCGTGGAGGAAGAGTGTGAGGACCCTCTGCTGGGGGCATTGGATGGGGGTGCACAACGGGTGGAAGCCCAGAGGCCAACAACGAAGAGAACTCGATAGAAGGAAGATGCCATTTTGGAACAAAATAAGTCTGCAAGAGAGAAAAGAACACTTGGGGGAGGTCCCTGAATCAGAGACCCTTCAACACCCCCTGCCATTAGCAACAGAATGAGGACAAATGGAAGTTAGCAGAGTGAGTCCTTTCCCTTGGTCACAGGGTTTGTCCAGGATTCAAAGTCCAGCCTCAAATTCCAAGTCCCTTGCTCTTTGCAGTTTCTGCTTCATAGGCTTAATTTTTAAGAATCAAGAAAGTGAAACCAGATCGCAAAGTCCCAATCTTAGCAGCCAGAAGTGACCTGTCACCCTGCGGGGAGCCCTCCACATTTTCTTTATCCTTTTTGTGTCTGATTGTTTTCTCACCCTGGATGCCCATCCCCAGCCACAGGCACTTACTGGTGTGTTCACGTCTCCCAAAAAGTGGAAACCCAGAGGTGCCCTGGAACTGTGGTCCTCCATGTACCCTGAGCACTGGTGGCCTGTTCCTGATGAGATGCTAGCTCCAGTCACGACTATCTTCCGTTCCCCCACAACCCCCGAGTCTCATCTAGCAAGACTTTGGCACCAGGGGGATTTCAGATTAAATGACCCAATGCACTTGGAAACTCCAGTAGTTTTAGAGGAGGACAGGGTTGGGCTTGCATTCAACTCTGACATTCCTGGTGGCCAAGCAACCTCTCTGGACTTCAATTCTCTTCTTCACCTTTGTAAAACAGGGATAATTACTCATGGAGTTACTCAGAGAATTGGGTGTGATAAGGTACGTAAAGGCAGCATGGGACCCAGCACATGGTAAGTGCTTGATAAATTACTTCTATCGTTGTTTTGTTGTTATTGAATTCAATGACAATTTGATTTGGGGCAGTTCTGTCAAGTCATGTCTGGAGCCTCTCCAGCCCTGCCTACAGCACCTTCACCTGTTCAGTTCCTGAACCACCTTTATGCCATCAGGAAGACCTCATTCGCTTTAAGACACCTTTACAGAGGAGCTCCAACCTGTGGGTTGACCTGGAGGTACAACTGTAAGTGGCCACTTTGTAAAAGGAAGATGAATGAATCTAATGCAAGGCAGGGTGGGATTTGTGCTACACCTGACGGAAAAGCAAAGCAAGACACATGCTCCAGTGGATCACGTCCGTCTGAGGCTTTTCTTCAACACCCCTTTCCCAGTTTTATAATTTCTTCCCTATGACCTGGATGTCTTTCACTCTCTCACCCTTTTCACAACCCAGTGCCTTTGTAACTCTTGCCCTCCATCAAATTTTGCTCTCTGCTCTTTTATACTAAAGTGTGAATGGCTGCCACCCATTTTTCTCCCAGGGGCACCTGCCTTAAGTTTCACTTCCAATTGAAAAGGAAAGTCTTTTCCCGCTATAGCAGAAATTCAGCCAATAAGTGAAACAATTATTTCACCAGAAGTGGAGAAGGGAAAAGGCAAGGAGCTCTTTGCACAGAACCACAGAAATACTGGCACAGAGTCACTTGTCAGTGTCAGACCAGGCCTAATGTGATAGCCACTTTTCTTACAATCTCTTTGTGGAAACAAAATTTATGTAAATTGAATCGTATTTTATCATACCAGACATGATTAAAACTTAGAAGGAACTATATGAAGAATATTTTTGCTGAATGAGTAATTCTTTTGCAAAACTGCTAATTTTTCTCCATTTCTATTTCTCTGATTGGGCAATTTTTGTGTTTGTTTGTTTGACTGAAGTGGCGTTTTTTCTCTAAGCTACACTCACATGTATCCATCCAGCTCCTGCACTCTTTATTAACAGGTTCTAAACTGACCTCTTAAGCTGTCCTCCACCCTGAGCTGCTCCAGCCTCTCTTTCTCAAAGGAGGCCATATCACCTGTGTGAAGTGGCGTTTTTTCTCTAAGCTACACTCACATGTATCCATCCAGCTCCTGCACTCTTTATTAACAGGTTCTAAACTGACCTCTTATGCTGTCCTCCACCCTGAGCTGCTCCAGCCTCTCTTTCTCAAAGGAGGCCATATCACCTGTGTCGTCATCCCAGTCCAGAAACTGACCATCACGCTTCGGTCAAGCACCCTTCAGTCACCCTCCTTCCCCACATCCAGGGCATGGCCGATTGTTCTCCCTGCTTGAAACACCTCAAGGCCCACCTTCGCTCCATGCCCCTGCCCCTCGCTCGCTCCAAACCCTCCTCATCACCTACCTCCCTGGACAATCCCGAAGCCTTCTGGACTTGTCTCCCTCTCTCTGGTTGTGTTTTCTCAAATTGATTTTTCTCAAGAAACTCCACCAATCTTCATGCACAGAGGTCAACTCCTGGGGGACGAAGGTGAAACTCTTTGAATGGCACACGGCCTCTGAGAGTCCTCCCCTTCCCCCTCTTCAGCCGCGCTGTCTGCCAGTACATCCGTCTGTGGTCTGCACACCTGTCACCAATAGCAAATGCTCAGGGTCGCCTCTCTCCCTGTCCTCCCACTGCCCCACCTGCACATGCCTCTTCTGGATGCCCCTCGTCTTGCTCATGGGAAAGCCCTTCTTTCTGACTCTTGAAAACTCTGCTTAGCTGTCACCTGTTCTTCCTGACCCCCTTCCCTGTTGTGACTTCATCATTCTCTCCTGTCTCTCTTCTCCTACTTCTGAACTTGACTCTACATCTAACACTGGATGGATGATCACGGGCTACATGCATGTCTGTCTGTAACCTGTAGGTTCTTTGAGTGTGTAATCCGTGCACTCAGCACATTGGGTCTGTCCTGCACACTTATGCAGGCACTATGTGAGGTGTTGGGGCTACAGTGGAGGACAGATAGGCAGATTCCTGGCCCTCGTGTCACTTATTGGAAAGACAGGCCATTAGCAAATACCACTGGGTATGAGAAGCATTGCAATGGGCAAGTACAGGCTTTGGGCACCCCTATCGCTTGAGAAGAAAGGCCTCCAGAGGAAGTGGCAGCCGATTGAGACTTGAAAACTGTCAGCCAGGTGAGGGGAAAAGCTGAGAAGAGAGGTTTAGGCCTGTGCGAGGCCTCAGAGGTCAACAAGAGCAAGGCGGGCTGGAGGAACAGGAAAGGTCTGTGAAGCAGCCTCAGCACCAGGGGCCGGCGGGGAGGGCTGGGGCGTGGTGCCCGGCGGGCTGCAGGCCTGGGAGGCCACGTGCAGGGACGTGCAGACTTGGTTCTGGGCCAGGGCCCACTGGGGGCTGATGCAGAGGAGCCTTGGTCAGGAGGGGATTTTCAAGGATTATTCTGGTAACTGCCTGCAGTTTTCACGGCTCTGCACACCTGCCTCCTGTCCCCCGCCCTCCTCCCACCAGCACGGCGTAGGGGCCCCGCAGACCCTGGGTGCTCTGCCCAGAGATGGAAGAAGGGCATTTCCACCAGTCTCTGAACCAGGGTGCAAGGGAATGGAGGGGCAAGGCCCCCGGGGAATTGTGGAGCTGCACCCCGCGTTCCTCCTCTCTGATGAGCCCTGTGACAGGCCAGGGTGTGCTGCACTTGCTGGGGGGTCTGCAGCACCTCTGGCCTCAGTGGTGAGGTAACAGCACTGGAATTCATTGTCAATCAGAAGTCAGAGTGTGAGCAGGATCATCTGTTCAGCCGACAGCCTCAGAGCAGCACATCATGTTTAAAGAAGGGCAGCCTTGTGCAGCCATCTTTGCACGGCTTCACCTCCTCAAGCCACTTTGTCCCCCTTCTGTAAGAGGGCGGCTCTGAGGAAAGGTAAGACAATGTACCCAAGACACCCAGCACAGCATCTGGCCCACGGTGGCCAGGAGAGCAAAGCTGCTTCTCTTTTGTGGCTCTTATGATTTTGCATTCTTCACTTGGAAGCAGGGCAAAGGGACAGGCTTGTCCCTGGCTCTTCATGACCCTGCAAGAGGGAGTCAGGCTGAAGGAAGGGAACGTTAGCTTTATAGAGAGGAGGGGGATTGCTGCCAGGCACCGGGATGCCACAGAACACCAGGCTGTCTACCAGGGCCTGTGCCCCTCTCTGGGGAGGCTTGGGGTGTGGTGGGGAGCTCTCAGGGGACACCTACTGACATCCGGTTGTGCCCCCCAGAGACTCCACATCACCAACAGCAGATGTGGCCTGCTAGGGGATGTCTGACTCCCAGTCACAAATTTTGCTCCTTCTGGGCCTGCTCTGAGTAAGGACAGCTGAACCACTAGTCACATAGGGAGTCGGCTCGTAAGTGTCCTGCTTTGTCAATGGCCCTGGCCTCCATGTGACCTCAGGCAAGTTGCTGCCTCTCACAGGACCTCACGTGGAGGTGGACTCAAGAGACCCCCTTCCTTTAGAGTCTGGGGCTCTATGGCCACGGGCCTCAGGGAAAACCCCAGCCAAAGCTCATTCATTTGGCTCTTGAAATCCAACCTCTTCCACACTTGGCCTCTCCCGACCCCAAACTCCTGTCCTCCTGTGGCCGCCCCTTCGCTCTTCCAGTGCTGTGAAGGTCTTTGACACTCTCCCTGCTGTGGCCTGCCACTGGGGCTCTGCCCATTGGGATGACACAGACACTCTGTCCTCCAAGGGCCCCTCCCCCAGCTCCCACGCCTGCACCCCACCTTCCACTGTCTCCCACACTTCTCCAGGCTCCATCCTCATCTGCACTTTGGACTGGGTGAACTTGCTAGATGCAAACGAGGGTGTGTCACTCACCTCCCAGATTCTTCAATGGCTTCCCACTGAGCTCAGGAGAGATGCCCAAGCTCCTGGCATTCAAGATCTTTCTCCAGTGTGCCCTGACTTACCTCCCCAGCCTCATTTTCAAGCACCCACCTGTTCACTTTCCCCCAGTCCCCTCCCTCCCCCTGCCTCTTTATCCAGCTTGGATGTCAAAGGGCTTCTCCTTCCAATACTCTTCATCCTGGGGCCTTTGTCTTTGTGACATGCCCTCTGGCAAGACTTCAAACCGGGTAGAAGCCAGCTATTTGCTCCTTCTTTGCCAAGCACTGCTGAGGAAGGTGTCTCGGGAAGGAAGTTGGGTCCACAGTGAATTCCATGTTGCCAGCCTTTATCTGTCTGGCAACATAT